TTGACAGTCACAATAGACTTCGCCAGGATAGTCTGGACCTCGAAAAATCTGTGGAGGTTAAGGAGTGGTCATTTCGAGTTAATTGTACTGTGTTAGGAATTGTGCTGACGGATTGCTACCTTCTCTATCGTTTTGGAAACAGTGGGAGAGATTTACTCGATCTGATTTCTTTTTGGGTTTTACTCGGTACTGCAATGGTTCAAAATTCGTTTGATGTCATAAGGACGTGTCGTGCAAGTCATGTTGAGCGTGAGGACGCGATGGATGAGGAAATACGGACCGATGGCAGCGGGATTTATTTATCTCGCACAAAACAACGTCGGCGTACCTCCAGCGGAGAGGAGTTGGATCAAAGAAAGCAAGGACTATGTTTTGTCTGTCCGAAAGGGAAAAAATGAAGTCAACGTGGGTCTGTTCTCAGTGCGGAGTGAAGGAGGGAAGCGAAAATTTTCTTTGTCATCCAAAGAATGGCCGTGACTGTTTTACGAGGCATTTCAACTTGATGCATTAAGTAATACAATAAAAAGCTTGAACGTTACATGACATATGGTTTGATAGCGACTGCACCGATGCTGCTTCAATTCGTGCTGGCAACTATAGCTGTAGTGAGGCGGCCTGTAAAGGGGTGCAGCAGTCATGTTCAACTCTTTGACAGGGCGTAACTAATATTCTGACTCGTGAGGATGTTATTTTTCGGTCCTCAGATGAGGCTCATTTCGCCTCAAATGAGTGCAAAATGTCCGTCCAATAGACACTAGAACACCGTTAAGGTTTGCCTTCTTAGACAACTTGTCCCCTTCTTCACGTCCCCCAGACACTTTGACAACATTGCAAAGTTCTTGTTTTACCTGCCCTTCGCTTGCGTCTTGCCCCAGAGTTGAAAAATACACACCACCTGGAAAGCGCGCATGAATCTCCTTGTCATGTGCAATTGCTCGAAGTGCACATGTCTTTCCGACTCCGGCTTGTCCAACCGCCGTTGCCCCTACGTGCAAAGTGCTTCCATTCCTCAACACAGCGACTTTCAGTTTCCTCTCCAACGTGTCAGGAGCAGGGTGGTTTTCGACAGAACCCAAATCAACGTGCCCTGACGGAGGGTTATGCTCAGCTGAAAACTCGGTTTGAACACTTCTTTTCCAGATCTCTGCGATAATGCCTCACTAACTACATGAAGCTCCGTCTGTACAGCCGTCTGTCCCGCCGTCTGTACCGCCCTTACTTCACTAACCACGTGCAGCTCCCTCCGCACCTGCTCTATTGCAGCACGGTGATCCTTGGCTTTTTGTTGGCGCTCTATCAACACGTTCTGGTCGCCGATGGCAGACTTCAAGGCACTTAGGTTGCTCTTTAGGTTCTTTGCCTCACGGCGAAGTTTCTCGACCAACTCTAAGACAGAGATCGACACGGAATCAATAATCTTTTGTATTTAATTCTTGTGAAGCGGTTGCAGTTCGTCAATGGGAATTTGTGCCACGCCTTCCGTAAAATCCTGCAGCTCGGTGTACTCTTTCAGCACGTCGTCGGCCAAGGCTCCGTTCTTCTTGTAAGCATCGTGTACATCCATGAGACCACGAACAAGTGCAATCGCATCTTTGAGCGTCACGCCCAGGAGACCTAGGAGACCGAATGGATCCATGATGGCTTTCTGAAAAGTAGAGGTATACGCACGCAAAGTGATCGTGCTCGGTGTGCGTGTGTTTCTGGGTGTTTTTGTGTATGTGGGAGTGGGTGTGTGAGTCAAGGTAGACAGGGTGTGGATGTTGTGTGTAAAAGGCAAGCCAGGGATAGAGGGAGTTAGAATGTGTGTATCTCCGTCTTCGGGTGGTCTGGTCGGCAGTGACCCGGTCACCCCACTTCATCCTAACCAGAGCAAGACGCTGGTGCGCGTGTGCCGCTCGACTGCGCAGTCGTCGGTAGAATAGTGATTAATCATTAATTCTACAATGGTACGCACTCTCAATCATCATGAGCCAAACATCGAGGGATGGCGGCGGTCATAAAGCCTTTTCCTTACTTTTACATCACCGTGCTTGTGTTGTAAAACATGTGCCTAACGTGCTTCCCCGTGGAAGGAGGGGTGCCCTCCTTCGAACACTGCTCATTCTCTTGCGCCGCCCTGGTCATTTAATCGACATAAACGCACTGAGGAAAACTTTCCCTTCCCAGCGATACTGGTCTGGGAGCGTGCTTCCGACTACTTTCCCTGCTGTCGGGGAGAGAAAATGAAAGAAGCGAGTCGTTCTCCACGCCTCCGCCAGGTGTATCTTTGATTTCATCAAACCAATGTGAGTTTGAGAATGTCCCTCAAGTTTCATTGCATCATCTTTGCCCCGTGGTTCACCCAGCTCTGCAGGCCGTGCTGACAGGCGGGTCGACCGGGCTCGCGGTGGTGCTGGTTGCGCTGTGGCGGCCGTCGCGGTCGCGCGCGCTGCTGTTCTATTCCGAAGCGACGCACCACGACCCGGAGCGGATCGTGCTGTATCTGGGGGAGAACCTGACATATTTGTGACGCGATAAAGCTCGGTTCTGGAAACACGCGTACCACGCGATGGTGCCCACAGCTCTTCCAGATCTCCCGCCAGTTGCATCTTCACATTACAACAGTAGCGCTTCCCACCGATACCTCCTCCGCAATCACCTGCTTCGATTGTGACGCGTGGAAAGACCATACGTGGTGTGTGCGATGTGTCAGACAAGGAAAGGTCTGGGAATACAACAGAACCTTGCCTCACGCTACCTTTTCGGCATATGCCGTCAAGCTCCCGGCCAAATTTGATCAACGTGGCCTGGCAAAATTCACACAAGACTCCGGCTCCTCACAGACTGCCTAATGAGAGTCCCTGACTCCGTCGTCCAACGGCGTGTCCTGTGAGCCTTGGCCCTGTCATGCGCTTGTGATACGTGTACAGAATACGTATGGCTCTCATGACAGTGCAGTACAAGTGGACCCTACGCATTAGTGCCGCCCTGTGTGAATACTAGAAAAACGGCACTAATCCGGAGCGGCAGTGATCAGTGGGGTGCACCATTACTCTTCCAAAACTCTGTTATTAAGGTCTGTTGTTGTTTCCGACCCTCCCTCTCATGCCTAGCTTCCATGGCTCGTTTCGCGGACCTCAAATGTGATAAAGCATTGCTCACATAGTACTCCACATCCAGACTCTCCAAAAATCCCTCACAAGTTGTGACGTCGTCGTCACCTCCCTCTCTGGCAGGGTTGTGACTCACAACCCTGCCAGAGAGAGACGTCTGACACGTGGCACGACCCGTGTCTGCCAATCTTGGGTGGCACTAATCCGCGTGTGGCAGTAACAAAAGCGGCACTATTGCGATTCCCCCCTCCCCCCCTGTACAGTGTACAGCACGGGGATCCCGAAGCGAAGCGCAAGCACTTCAAAATAACACGCAATAAAATCACGACTGTCGTCATTCATAATATCTCCAAGAATTGTTGCAATGTTGCCGAACTGAAAGGCAACCATGAACTCTTGATTCTTCTACGGCACAGTACAGTACTGTAAACTTTACTGTACAGGGCGAGGCGACCGCATTTGCGTTTCTACTCAGAAAAGTGTGTTCCGTATTTTCGTGACCAAACCACAAATTTATCCGTCGCATATTTGTTTGCGTTGTCGCCAAAAGACGCTTAGCCTTTTTTTGGTTTGACCCACTGAGAACGGAGAAGATCGCGCGACCCTAAACCACAAATTAATTACAGCCCATTCTTGCCTTTGTGCTGCCTTTTGCCTCCTTCTGTCTCCCCTCCAAGACCTCCCTCCGCGATGTCGAAGCTTAAAAGATATCCACTCACTCACCAACTGCAGAATTGCACTCATTGCACCTTGACATGATTACCCAGATCTTGGCACTAAAACCTTGAAAGACACCTGGAGGAGGCTTCAAGTGGAAGGGGTTTCAGGTGAAACTTCAACTGGTTCAATACATGCCTCGCTCCTTCGTCTCCATTGCTCCTTGTCGCCATTGTCTCACGCTACCAGCAGTCGCCCGCTCGTCGAAATCGATTCGGCCACTGTTCCTTTTGCCTCACGCATGCTGTGCTGGACCTCTCTCAGTTTTAAACGCGGACATGCTCTGCTTGCAAGTGTTTTACCCTGAAAGATGATGCAAATACGACATAACTCTAAATTTGCATTTCACATCTCAATTTGCCTACCTCCCACACCCCATTCGCCTGCGGGCACGATACAGCGATGTAAAAGCCCTGGAAAAGGTTACTTCTAATTCTCATTTCAGGGTTTCATCGTTGGCGCAGGTTTCGCCACCAGCGAGAAGACCTACTGTGTACGCATACTACTTCTTGGCAATGTTGTGGTTTTGGATACCAACTCTTGTTGGTCGGCATCTTTCTTAAAAGTCTCAAAATCGGTGTCGCAGTTGAAAGACGCGACCCTCGTGACGCGATCTTCGAGAGGAGTGGGTATCGTTTCGTTCGAGAGATTTATTTTAGTTTTTCACTACCCTGATGTCAAGATCCCCTCTCAGTAGTTTGGCCCTGCTTCCTGTCCTATTTAAATACTCCCTCTTACCTCTGAGACTATCAATCATTCAACTCACCATCCTTCTGTCAAATCATTCCAAGTCCAGTGACGACCGCAGGTCAGCATGCTTCTTCAGCTCAGCTTTTCGGTATTGTGCGCTCTCCTTGCTCTTGCAGTTGCTTCTCCAGCCCCATTATCGCCCTCTGGGCTGGCGATATTGCTCTTGTCTCACTCCCAGAGGTTACCACTAGCAGCAAAAAATCATCTTTCTCTCTACAACACTCGCTTCCGACGGCATCCGGTGGGGAACACATTTAAAGCTCTCCACAAAAAGAATGTATCTCCCGGAGCTCTTGTTGTTAATCGGATCCATTCTCTTGATGCGTTTCGTCAGGCTTATGATACGGTAAGGAGGGCACATGAAATTGGTCCAAGGGAACGCACAATGACCAGGCCCGAAATTGCTATACCCGAGGGCCGGCTAGCGGATCATCACAGCATTCAACCTGACTCCTCTCCCAAGGAGTCACCCGCAACTGATGACGCAGAATCGAATGGCGGGAGAGGTGACGGGCTTACAGGATCTATTTGCACGAACTCTACGGAATGTGCGGATGGAAGAATCTGTACAAACGGAGACATTGACACCTGCTCTGCTGGCGAGACTTGCATATGTTTACCTTCGGACGGACTTGAGGTATGTATGTCTGGCGCCGATTGTTCGACAGCTGGAGAAGTGTGCGTGCAACTAGGTGGGGGCACAGTGTGTTTTTCTGAAGAAACTGCGACTGCTTCAGACTTTCCTATCGTGGGTGTCGACACCACTGATGACCCTGGCTCCAGCGGCGGTAGTGGTGACGGGATTACTGGTGCGATCTGCACGAGCTCATCGGAATGTGCGGGTGGAAGAAGCTGTACAGACATAGAGAACATCGACACGTGCTCTTCTGGCGAGACTTGCATATGTGTACCTTCAGGTGGACTTGAGGCATGCACGTCTAGCGCCGATTGTTCGACAGCTGGAGAAGTGTGCGTGCAAATAGGTGAGAGCACAGTATGCTTCTCTGAAGAAACTGCAAATGCTGCAGACATTCCCATCGCGGAGATCGAGAGCTCTGGTACTCCGGAGGAGACACCCGCGAATGAGGACGCAGACTCACATGGTGGCAGTGGCGACGGGATTACCGGATCGGCTTGCACGTGCTCCTCAGGTTGTACAGAAGGAAGATTCTGCACAAACGGAAACATGATTACGTGCCCTGCTGGCGATTCGTGCATCTGCATGCCGTTAAGCGGAGTGCAAGTTTGCTCGTCCAGTGCCGAATGCTTAACAGACGGGGAAGTATGCGCGCAGGTAATCAGTCTTACGCTGTGTCTATCAGAGGAGGTTGCGATTGCCGAGGGTATTCCGATCTTGGACGGCGTCAGCTTTTAACGTTCGTCTCTGAAGGTTAAGATTTGAGAAATGGTGTTTCTACCACGAAAGAAGGAGGAATCAGCACCCCACCAGTGGATGGGACCATGAGTGTATTTTTTCTCTCGATTGTAGTAGAAGCTTTGTTTGGCTACATCCCAGAATTTCTAGATAGATATCCACGTATTGAATATGGTGCTTGTGTTATGGCTAGTCCAGCTAAAGAATAGATTGCGTGTTGAATCACAATGGTTAAATCCTGTTTTGCATGCAAGTACAGAACAGTCATACCTCCGTAATCTGAGACGATTCGTAGATGCCGTCCCAATTGAATCAAGATTCTATTCCAGGAGACACTTGCACCGTGAAGAGCACTTCGATCGATCACTGACATAGTAGAGAGATGCTGTTGCTTCGTGTGCATACATGTTGACAGTTTCGTGCACAGTCCATGGAATAAGAATGTGTGCATGTAGGCACAGGCTTCCCATAATTCATGACAGTATTGGCCGTGAGCATAAATGATGCTGTCTGATCCCATTGCATAGCCTTTACGGGGCAGGGAGGAAGAAGGGAAAGACTGCAAGTGGAAGGCCGTTGAGGAACAGGGAGTGATGCTGAAGCGAAGGCAGATTTTTGCTAAGGAGGAGGGTAAAAAAGAATGAGAGTCGATGGGAAAAATGAACTGATGGACGGGGAGAAGGCATGGGCGCGGAGGAAGTTCTGGTATTTCGGAGGGGTGGGTGCGGAGATTGAGTTGACTGGAATCGTGAGGCGAGGGGCGGGGCCAGTAGACGGACAACGCATCTGCCCTGATAGGTAGAGAGAGAACGGACCAGCCCCTGGGGCAGGTCCTTTTGAAGGCTTAGAGTCATTGTTTTCTGTGGAGAGAGAACTTAACTTGGGCCTTGTGATTGCAGGAACAGCGATACCCCCGATCCATTCAGGATCGGGGAGACGGCGGTGACTTTATTGTCCAAGTGGGTGGTGTGCTGTAATGCTGTGCTTTATTCTACGTGTCTTACTTGCTTGGTTCTGGACGGAACCACAGGGCTGAGAACAATACCGTACGAGCCGCACAGTAGCGACGTGCGGTGAACTGGTGCGGTGAACTGGTGTGGCGAAGTGCCAACATTGAAAGTCACACTGGTGCGCGCATTTGCATCGTTTCTGTGATGCAAGATCGATGCCTAGGTTTACTGATGTCAAATGCCTGTCTACCTTATAGAGGGGGGCTGGTGATCCGTAGGCAGGCGGTGATCGTGCTGAGCTGATCGCTGTTGTACGTGTGCAACGTGTGTGCATATAGCTCTCATGACAGTTTCTTAAATAAAAAAGGCAATCCAGCTGTACCCTTTAGGGTACTGTTGCAGGTACAACCTGCAAGCGTATTCACAGAAAGTAAACAGCGCAGTCTCGGCCAAATCGCTCCGGATTAGCCTGCCAGAGATTGCACAGAAAGATAAAACAATTAAGCTTCACTTTAGTTTAGCGCGTCCAACAAGCAGGGTGCGCGCGATCAGTCACCGGAAAAGCGACAACAACGACAAACAGCCGTACAGCGGACCTCAGCCGCTAACAACGATCCGAGTAAATGACAATTAAGTAGCAAACAGCTACAACAGCGACGGAAACAGCCGCAAACTCAGTCCTTTTTCCTCGATCGATGCCTATCTCCCCGTTTCCTTCATCTCACAGCCTCTGTATCCCCTGACTTCTACCAACAAGCTGACCCTCACGCTTCTTTCTTCCCGACCAATTCCAGGAACCCCCTGTCTCCACTGCACTGAACGGTTGCACGCCAGTCTATGACAAGTGATGCCAGCACTACCCCGATGCTCCTATCGACCACATCCAGTTGAACGGTTGCGTAGGTGAATGACGCATTCCGACATCCTTTCAGATGACTGTTCACCCACCGGTCTGCTGGTGATAAGTGCTGCACGGGCTGAACATTAAACCATCCCGTGAGCTTCTGACGTGTCAACACAGTGTTGCCGGCTGATCTGGATTGCCCGCCTTGCCCGATCCTGATCTCCGGCTGTCGTGGTGCCACGAATGCCACCGCCTGACCTGCAACGGCAACACTCGTCCTTTGTCAGATCACATGCCAACGCTCTCTTTGTCATCGCATGATAGATTGAAGCTTTCACCGACTAATCCCGTCGACGGCTCCTCTCCAAGCGTGTGCTCTTCGCATTGCGAGTACTCTTTGGCGTTCCTCTTTCCAGCCTTTTTCTAAGCTTTCCTCTCAAACGGCTTCACCACAGTATCTGGTAGATCTGACTCCTTTGTCCAAGCGGAGGAGCGACGTCCATGTATTCTGACCTTGAACCAGCGCTCTTTCCCTTTCCCGTTTTCGCGATCTCGGACTTCACTTGCCTTTATTCTCTTGAAAAGACGCAAGTTATCCGGGAAAATGCCGTCCTGTGGTTCCCCGGTTTCCACGATTCCCGGCCCAATTTTCCGGAGTCTGTTGACATGGACGCACCCTTGCTTTGCACCGATCTCGGATTCGAGGCCGTACCCTACTCGACCAAGCTTCTCGGTGATCCTGTATGGACCAATCCACGGCCGTATAACCTTGTTACCTTCATCCTTTCCCAACTTTGATGACCACATCAAGACCCTATCACCCACTTGATATTGGGTTTCACGCACAATCTTGTCATACTGAGACTTGCCATGTTCACGAGATCTCTTTCCACGCATCAGCAACCTCTTGTGTAGCAAGGAAAGTCTTCCCGCGAGGTCCCGAGATTCAGGTTCCGTGCCTTCGAAATCAACTTCACTCCAGACTTCAAACGCAGCAATCCCAAACGTTGCTTCGAAGGGAGTCATACCGGTAGCCGTATGCCGACTGGTGTTGTAGCGCAAGCAAGCGAGCGCGACATGTTCATCCCAATCGCTCTCTCCAGTTGCCATGAAGCTCGCTATGTCCTTGGCGACGGTTCTGTTGCATCTTTCTACTGTGCCATTCGCCTGTGGGTGCCACGGATAAGTCTGCACTCGCTTTACACCCAGCTGACCCACCAGATTCATGACTACTTCGCTGACTAGATTGGTACCACCATCAGTCAACAGCCTTTCCATTGGCCCAAACACGGCAATCCACTCATCTAGCAACACCTTGGCCACCGTGGAAGCCTTCTCATTTTGGATCGGGACAGCTCGAACAAACCGTGTGAACACGTCGATCATCACAAGGATTTTAATGTTCCCTGACCGTGTCCTTGGCGTGATCGTCTGTATGTCAATTGCCACTTGTTCAAATCGACGTCTAGGGTGCACTATTTCCATAGAAGCTGGCCTTCGTGGACATTCTTCCTCCGCAACAGCACAATTCAGGCAATTTCTCACAAATTTCACGACATCCGGAACCATGCTCCTCCACCAGTACCTCCTGCGTAGCTTTGCAATTGTTCTCGCCACCTTGTAGTGTCCATGTAACTTTGAGCCGTGTACTGTCCTCAGCAGGGAGTCTGTCATTTCTGAAGGTACAACAATAACGAAATTGTTGCCGACCTCCATGTGCAAGATGCCGTCTTCGTCAAAAAAACTTCCTGTTGCCAGATGCAGCAGCATCCTCTAGGCATCCGAATTCCCTCTCTTGCGATTGTCGCAGCTCGGACTTGGTCGGTCCATCTGTAAACGCATTGATTTCTGCAACAGCAGACACACGCTCCCTGTGCAGACGCTGGACTGCAGTAGTGATCCTCTCGCTTTCATCCTTCCGAACGATTTCTTCTAGGTGTTAGCCACTTATTGGCTCGTAGCAGCGCTGGCAGAGTGGCTTAGGCACCGCATCCCTGCTAAGTGTATCTAGAACCACTTAAAAATACCTTGTTCGAGTTTTAGAAAGGTGCACTACTTGTGCAACAACCTCCAAACCAGCTGCTGCTCGCAAAATTTCGCTCAGTACTATCAGCCGCGAGTTCAATGACGTTGTTTGCATCGATCACTTTCATCTGGACGACCACCGCGTATTTCACATAATGGATTCAGTAGCTCGCTATCCTGTCGGTGATGTCGTACCTGATATGTCCATGACGTCAGCTATACAAGCCCTGGAAACGCAATGGGTCTCACAGTTTTGGGTACCAAAAGCTATCGTTTTTGACCCAGCGTTCAAAAATTCTCAATTTGCAGATTACCTTATTAAGCATGGCATTGAGGCTCGTCCAACACCACCACGTCGAAATAACAAAAACGTTATAGAATCTAAGCACAAGGTCATTCGTGATATATATCTACGACTGAAACACGAAATTCCAGACTGCTCTGTTGAAGATCAAAAGTTAGTTATTCGACAAGCTTTACGTGTGTCGAATGATCTCTATGGCACTGATGTTTGCTCAGCTCACGAGTTGGCAAAGGGATACACAAGGCCGATTTCTGCTGGTGCATTCCCAGCTAGCATTCCTACGGATATATTGAATGCCCATGATGAACTAATAGCCAAGCGCAAACTGACAAACATTCTGAGGTCTAAATCACTGACTGAAATTCCGATTAATATTGGCGACCCCGCTCAAGTATATATCAAACTTCAACATGAGAAGAGAGGAAAATGGTCAACACCACGTACTGTTCTCTCGATCGACAGAGCTTCCGGGACTGTAACAGTGCCCGGTAAAAATGGGCGTACAGTCTCTGCTGCAGTTGAAGATATACGAGCCGCTATCAAGGAGAATTCTTTTGCTTCAACTATCCAACAGGCAATTGATACCATAACCGTAAGCGTCGAAGAGTCCATTGAGGACATAACTGCTGTCCAAAATGATGGTGACTCTCAAACAATTCCGCTTATTAATGCAAGCAATGAATGTGACCAATACGATGATGGTCATGATGATACACTTTCTGCGAC